AGAGAGAGAGAGAGAGAGAGAGAGAGAGAGAGAGAGAGAGAGAGAGAGAGAGAGAGAGAGAGAAAGAGAAAGAGAGAGAGAAAGAGAAAGGAAGAAACTAAATATACTACAGTCTTCGCCGGCGATAAGATTGCGAGATAAAATAAGAACGCCCGTCTGTTTGATGAGATTGGCAATATCAACTACTGCGACGAGCAGTGACCTGTGTGAACGACGGAAGCACGTGTCGAAGCACCTTGCCACTTACCCTCTAGCAGTTCTGTCTTTTGCTCGCGCTGATGTTCGTTTACGGCAGCTGCGTTGCGGCTACCGAAGACGCTGTAAGCGTTCCTGGCGAAGCTCAGGTTCAGTTTGTTCGGCGTGGGCTGCATACTCGCGAATACCGGAGACACGGATAAACCGAACGCGTGGAAAGCAAAGAGCAACTGAAGGAGAGAACTCACGTACGAGCGCAAGAGAGGCTTCTATCGTGAACGTTTCTGCCTTCTTGTTACCTGGCACCCCAACCTTTTATTTTACTTTTCTCTATTGTCGTCCCTTGTAAAGGAAACGAAAACTATTCATAAAGGACTACGATAACAAGGGATTACGATCCCGTTCGACTTGCCTGACGCGCTATCTGTTTTCCCTCGACTTGCCTGCCGCGTAATTGCTTTTCTTGCTATAACATATTATTAGCATTAGCCTTAATGATTTATTAATTATTGTCCGCTTCGCCGTTCCTCGTGACCTCTTCCAATTGGTCGATACGCAACAGAGTCGCGATAACGAATCACCGTGACTAAAGAGTTCAGCCGGGACGTAGACGCGAAGGCGAAGGAGAAGAAGAAGTACAAGAAGTAGGTGAAGAAGTAGAAGGAGTAGAGAAGAAGACGGAGGAGGTGCCGAAGACGGTCGGTAAGCTGCGAGGTACCAGGGTGTGGTGCCGCTTGAACGGTCGCGTTCTTCGGGACGATCACCCCGTCTGCTACCGACACCGATTTCCCGCCATTTCGGGGTCTCTCTTCAGGGTCCTCGCAGCGGCTCTCGGCGACGTGTTCTCCGGCATTTGACCGGCATCGAGCTGACGCGAGCCTCCTCCGGCGCGCGGCGACCACGACGACGACGACGTTGTTCTACGTGCGAAGGCCGGCTGGTCTTCAAGGCGGCTGTACCGCAAACCGCAGATGACGATCGTCGAGGGGGCGGCAGGAGAATGAGGATGCTGACGGGCGAGCGGTAGCTGGTGCTATCGCTTCGGACCTGCCCTCGGCTTCCTGGATTCGTGTCAGTCGCCGGGGTCGGTGAGCTTTCGCCAGCCGATTCGTGGCGTGGTGACCGCTCGTTCACCCTCGCTCATGCCGCGTTTCAGGCACACCAGGCCCGAAGCGCTCCTGCCTGAGCCGCCTCGTAGCGGCCGCGGTGACGCTAGATCGCGCCGGTTCGCCGCTTTTCTCGTCCCACCCTTGGCCCTCGAGGACGATCCGGGCTCTCCGTGGCCGTTCGCGGCCGCTGCACCAGCTCCTACCGGCTCTCTTGTGTGCTCGTGCCTCCCTTGTGCTGCTCCTTGGCGCGATCGCAAATACATTACGGGTTATAGGAGTATCCGGGGTTGCCGTCGGGACGTCTCGATCGGCAGAAGGGTTACGACAGTTCGGTTTTTACGCGCGCGCACGCTTCGTTTTTCCCGCGGAGAAATGTTTCCTTGGTCCTTCGTAGAAAAAAGGGATTCTCCTTGACGTGCGCACACACTTGGATTTGATCCGGAGCTCGAGTAAGTCGTCCTTCTTCTTCCACGATCGAAACGATCGATACAGTTCCGTGTATGAGAAAGAGATTGCGCGATGTTACGGGAGATAATGCGTTACGAGAATCCGCGAGTCACGAATCTATATTTAAGTCGCCGGTTACGTCAACAGCGACGTCTGCAATCCTCGAAATCTGGGAATACGCGAAATTCGCGTGTCAGACGGATAAAGAGATAAAGAGACAGAGATAGAGAGGGAGAGAGAGTAGAGAGGGAGAGAGAGAAAGAAACGGGATCTCCCGTATACGGTACACCGGTGCACGGTAATTCACACTTTTGTGATAACTCGATTGTCCTCGCGGAACACGGTCGACGACGACGACGACGACGACCCTCTTTCTTTCGCAGCACGATTCTTTCAGATGATCCGCTTAAACGCTTCACCCTCCTCAGGACTTCTAAGTACAGAGAACACGGTGCGATAGTTTGTGTCTAGCATCTTGCTCATAGTGCCGATACACGTTGCTGCCGCAGTTGTCTGGTATTCCCCCGTCACTAGCAAATTAGGAAACGGAAAAGAAAAAGTCACCCTCCTGCTGGAAGTCACTTTGCGCGCGGATGTTTCCTCGGCGCGGCGCTCATCCGTGGTGTTGCCACCGACAGACCGGGCTGATGCGTCTCGCAGTAGCGCGAGAGTAAGGTACGTGCCGCAGGTGAAAATGCGAGTTGTCCGTCGACAAGTCGTCTCCAAGTCCGTAGAAATTCGAGACAACGTGCTCGTGTTAAAATGGCGGCGCGAAGCCGTCGTTTCAGAATGCACAGCTCCGAAATTGCTGATTCTTGGCTGGCACAGCAACGAAGCTGATGTATCGCTGACGAGCGGACGCGCGCGACTCCGGCACCTCCGAAAGAAGACCCTCACACAGAAGGAACACTGAGAAACACAGCTGTGATTAACCGCAACGAAGAGCGGCAATTTACTTGCTCCGAGTTGCGAAAGGCCTCTGAACGCGAGCGAATCGAAGGAACAGTTTGGCACAGAGACCGAGCCGGAGAAGACTTGCGCCCTGTGTCGTGGCAAACCCAGTTCCAGGAACGTATCTAGATCGGGTACCTCATCGAGGGCCAACAGCTGCAGATATGAACGGATATGAAGCTCCGGCTGAATGCTAACTGTACGCACTTTCCATTTCACGCGCGCCCGCAAAACACGCAATCGCTATTTACGAGACAGACGCCAGATAAATTTTATCTGGCTTCTTCACGATTGTTCTTGTTAAACTAACGACGCAGATCAACTGGAAAAGTTTGAAATCGCCGTGCAGTGCGAACAACCATATCGCTCATTGTGTAATATACATTTCCAGATGCAGCGGTCATCGTTCGACGAATATTGCTCCTTTACGATATATCGACCGCGGTTCAAAGTACGTAACTCATATTTTATAATGCAACGTCTGTTATTCAGGATGCATTCCTGATTTTCAAGGTATAACGTACACAAGACACGTTTGCTATAACTTGATGCATCTTATCTTTTACGATTATCATGTAACGTTATGAGTAAATACAAAAGTAGATGATGTCACTTTAAAATATTTCTTTTCCCATATCTGATGCAGGTCTAAATGGTGAGATAAGGAAAGATAGAGAGATGGCAGAGGATTATCAATAAGATAAGATAATAATCTTTTCTGAAGTAAGAAAATTGACGAGATAATAAAGGATAATAAAAAACACGAGACAATTTTACAATGAATTTCCACTTGAATGTCTTTAATTGTTCGGAATTCCGCTTCCTTCGAGAGGAGCGCTTCTGAAACATTGTAGAAGCACGCATTTTGCTTTACATGGTTTCGGTTCTTGCATAGCCGTACCTGAAGTTCCCCTACCATCGACTAGTTCAACTTATGACGATGACGAGCAACGTCGTCGTCGACGACGTCGACCATGACTCATTTTTTAGCGAACGATTAGAGAGCGAACGCGGCTAGGGTTTCCTCATGATAACTCCTCTATTTGTGGATTCGTCTCCAACGGTTGATTTCCTGTTTACCATAACTCGGCATCCGGCGAGTACCGTCACGGATACACGTTCTTTTATATATACACACATTGTTCCGTACTCGGTCATGTGTTGTCTTTCTTGATCCGACCTCGTACCTCTTCTTGAACTCCGCTCTTCTCCCCCTGCTGTCTCTACTGAACCCTCCTGTTCCCTCGCGCTTCAAGAGGTCCCGTCGGAATATCGAACGACGAGACTCTTGCGGCTTATATACTTCATTCTGGCTAACTCGACTATCTCGACAACACGTGCCCAGACTCAAGTATTTGAGAAGCAACTCTATTCGTCGGCATCGACCGAGCTGCACGTGCCTATGAACGTTCCGGAGCACAACTCTGATTAGGAATTGTTTAGCGACAAGCAAAATTTCGTGAAATTCTTAATTAGACATTTTCTCTAAGATTTTGACATCTCTTTTTTTAATTGTTCCCCTTCAAAACAAATGTTTCTTTTTCAACATTTTCATTTTCGAAATTTTAAATACCATTAAATTCATATTCTTACTGCTTTAAAGTATTTCAATGTCAAGTTTCTCCTTTAGGTGGAATTTACGAACATTTCTGCGACACATATCGTGCTCGTTATTTTCAGACGGATATTTTCTAAATTAGACAGATAAGGTAATATAAGCGTTTATACTCATAGAAACTTTCAGTGTATGTGCGTATAAATTGTGCAAAGTCGGTTACGATAAAATCATCGTGAAGTATTTCACCTGTTATCTAGCCGCTACATCACTCTTGTTTGCCTCAGCTCTTTCGCCATAATTGCTATTGCGAGATTTGAAATCGTTTTTCTCCGGCGAATTCGCAATTAATCGACGTTCGATTAGGTAAACCAAATGCGATCGGAGCATTTCGATTCACTGAGAGACAAGTGGAAGAACGAAGGAAAGAAATTTCGAAAGAGGTTTGTCAGAACGGACAAATCCCCGTATAAAGATAATGATTCATACATGGCTTTAATTGAAGTGTAGGTCACTGAAAGATCGTCAATGATGAAATGTTGAGCGGCGCGACGTCGTTACAGCAATTGAGCAACGCTTCTTTTGTCTAAGCGGTCAATTTTAAAAGGCGAAGCAGAGGTCGAGGACAATGCCGCTCGCTAAATTTATCATACAACTCGACAATTCAATGGAATTAAGTATAAGCGGCGCTCACACATATTTGGAGACATAAAATATGTGGATACAATATATGAACATCAATTTTGTGATGACAGAATTCAGCACTTAATTGAAAAAGGTGATTCCATGAAAAATTTACACGTGATCAACGTGTATCAACTAGATTATCTAGGAATTTTTCCATTTGCTTATCAGAACTCGTCCCTTATATCTCTACGCGCCACAATCAAGTTAGAAATGTCAAATTGCCGGTTATGTAATGGGCGAGTGTCTCTGATGATACGCGCACTACGCACAAGTTTTGAACGAGTTAATCGTGCTTCCTAATCAAACATCCGTCCATTAATAGCTATCGCATTATTACAACGTTGATATGCTTCGCGTAACACATATTCTTTCTTTAAAAACAGTAAATTTCTCGAGCGAGATGTTTCCTCTCAGATGCGTATTTTATTCCGAATAATGCATAAATCAACACCTACGAAATTTGAAGAGTCCTTCTCTTTTTCGCACGATATGCTACACACAATATGCTATACGCAGCTTATTTAATTCGTGTCAGTTCATTTGTGTCAGTTCGTTCGTGTCATTCTTATTCAAATGCAATTTTAAACCAAATTGGATTCTAGCGAGAATATGAGATCTACTAAGATCTTAAGAATTATCATGTTTCCGCTCTTAACATGGAAGAAATATCTGATTGGATTAATCAATTCCTGATAAAATATAAGTTATAAATTTTGTTAATTCGGATAGAATTTTGGTAAATTTAACCGGAATTTCTAGTGTGTTCATATATATTTTGATATTAAAATATGGAGAATTATTATGTTTCCGCGCACACAACACGAAAAAATGTTTGGTTGGACCGGGAATGTTATTAACTGGATCAGAATTTTGATGAATTCAACCGGAATTTCTACTTCGTTCATATTTTACCAAAAATTTATTTAATCAACTAAATTTTCTTTTCCTTAGAACTGTGGAGGAAGGGAGAATGGGGTAATATGTCACAGCCAATATTCTCTTACATGATTCTTAAAAATATTCGGTCAACAATTAAACAAGTTGTCCAAGCAATTTCTGCAAAATTTGGGAGAACAAGATCTAGGCAAACATTTGTTTAGATTTGTGGCTATACAATTTATCAAAGCTGTATATAGTTTATTTATATAACCTGCATAATTATGAGTTTCATTTCTAGTATGTGAACAACTTGTTATGCTTGCTTCTATTACTCACGTAACCTACAAAATCTACATGATTATAAATTTCTTTTGATGTATTTGAAAAATTTCGTTTGAAGCAGTAAACAATTTGTTATGCGAAAAAAAGAGGAGTTCACATGTCAAAAATAAAGTTCATGAGGTGATTAGTATATTACTTGGACTAAAATATGCAGTAAAAATATATTGGATAAAAATTTTGACAAATTATTACTACTTTTGTGTGTCATTGATCAGCATATCATATGTGATTTGAGTCGTAATCTTGCAAAGAGTCGTCTTTTGTTCGCAACCTATTAGTTCATCGCTGATCAATATACGAAGTCACGACTAACGGACAAATATGTGGATGTGTTGCTGTTGTTTCAAATTCGACAGTTATTCGTAGCAAAATATTTCTTATTTCTCCTTCATCGCGATGTTAGTAACAAGCATGAGCAGTTCTCTCGTTACAATATTATACGTTACAATAACATATCGCAGTATGTTAAGTTACACGATTTATCATTTCATACCTGTAACGCAGTAATTTGCACATTTTCAAAATGCGCTATTTTCTGGTACGAGAGTACATTCTTTCGTAAGTAGTAATCAATTTCAACTCTTCTTCTAACATTATAATTGAGAAAAATTAATGCGAGTAGATTTGAATGCAATGTAAAATGATTTATTCGCAGAAATATTTTCTCAGCATAATGAAAAATTACGCGATGATATATAATAATAATGCGATGACGCCCACGTATGCATCCGCGACAGCGCAGAAATTTTTCCGCGATTTTAAAACCGCAACATCTGCATGTCGCAAAACTTCCAAGTTTAACGAAACATATGTATACTAAGAACGGTGAACAAGTCGAATAGTATTATTGTAAAATAATGTAATCGGCACTATTGTAAAATTACGGAATATGTGTATAGAGTTCAAATTTCAGACGAGGGAACGCGAAGAGATCATTCAACGGACGCTGATTGAAGATCGGTACGAACGTTCGATACGAAGTGAGGCGAATTCGACGGAAATTACGAGAGCAATCTTCGGCCCCGCAAATCATGCTTCAATTTCACGCTTCAGTAAACGATCGAAAGTCTTACCATTGCACTGGTCGTTCACTCTATCCATCTTGGAGTTGCTCGTTCCTACCGAGTCACCGGCGATTTCTCTCATGGTCCTAGTTGCTCTGTTTCGTCCTGAGACCGATGTGGACAGTTCTTAGAAGTAGTCAAAGACCAGGGATTCCCAGGCATCACGCGGTAGAATCAGGTGACAGATTCACTGTCGCGCACACATGTCGCGATCGTTCCCGCGCGATCGGCAGAGCACCGAGAACGGTGCGTGACGATGCACCATACGGCACTGAGAGCGCGTACTAGAGTTTGTACACGTCGATCCCTGGCTGGTATCGGAGAACGTAATGCACTGCTACCATTGGTCGAAAGTCTCTCTTATCGGCGAAACATTCGACCGCGATCTAATCCCCTGACGATTTGAGAGATCGTGCTGATCCAAGTGAATTCGCACGGGCCCCCGCCAGAATTCACTCAAGATGGAGGATACATTTAAAAGGTCACGCGCCGATTCTCGCGAACATATGTACGAAAGTAGTTTGACATCCGGACGGGCACATTTAAAGACCACTCGTGATGTCAGTCTGTAGACTGATTCTAAGGTCGAAGCTTCGCTTTTTCAACTGATATTGTAAAATGCTGGATTATCATGAACGTGACGTATCTCCGTTAATGCGAGATAAGCGTTATGTGTTACTAAAATTTTGCTTTTATCTTGGTAGGATGTTAACTACAGTGTCTCGGAGATAAATTTTAGTTTATAAAGACACATGTACAGACATATGTAAAGACTTTCAAGATAGCGGTATTTTATGTTTATGTTAAGCAGTTAAAATATTGTGTAAGACAAGAAATTTTTTTCGATTTTTGAGACAAACTTCACTTCACTGCGTTCAATGAAAAATTATTCGTCAATCAAGTTGTTGCCTCTGTTATCTTTGATTTTTCTCCAATGCATCGATAGCTCTTAAATACTTTTATCGTAAAAAATGATCGATTTGCTTTTGAAGAAAGTAAAAAAATCGGATGGAATTCTTTAATTGATTCAATATTTCTTTTTTACATGTGATTATGTCTGACAGAAATTCCGCGACTAAACAATACATATGAAAGCTGAAGATGATTAGACGATATCAGATAAGATGGAGACATAAATGATAGGAAGTACATTTTGAAAACAAGAGGAATAAATACGCTCATTTAAAAAGGAAGACTTCCTAGCTGGAATCATGTGGTGCAATATTCTTATCTGGTGATTGACTGCTGTAAGAATGATAAGAAGTTGTCTATAGTAATGGAAGATGGTTTTTGCATTATTAAAATTATCTGTGGAGAAGATAAACGTACCGATGCACGGGCCAAATAATATCATTGACGATATTTATTTTTTAGGAGAATAATACAGTGTATATTTCAAAGCAGTCGACCAAATGTCGAGAGCGTTATCTATACATTAAATTTATCGATGAAGATATAGATCTCTCGCTGATGTCACCCTGTTTAAAGTCGAGTGAGCATTCAGTTGTTTTCTATTTTCTATATCTCGGCTATTTAAATAATTAATTAACACGATAACAATTAAATATATATTAGAATTTTCTCCCACCTCAATCTTCCCATACTCTCGAGCACACTTTTGTTAAGTATTATTTTCTTTTCCTATCTTTCTCTCTTATCTTCAACAGCGAGTATAGAATTAATTTGAAAGTCGGTTTCTCCGTTTATTTTGTTCTCGTGCCATTTTTCTCTGTACGATTAATCTCTTGTAATAAGAAAACGAAGAATCTCTTGTAATAAGTAAAAGAAGTTTTCTCAGAAAAAGAAAAAAAAATATATATAAAATATTCCTTTTCTGCAAAATATAATTGTCATAATCCGCAATAAATAGCTCAACAATTAATATCTCACGATCCAATTATCGCTACCTCGATTAAACCTTAATTAAGATCAGATAATGGACTAGTTATATCGAAACAGCTCGCTTATCAAAGTATCTATATGACGTATACACATGCGTTTCCCACAAAACCGCGACCGACCGACCGACCAACCGAATTTTGCGAGCATGGCAAACGAAAGCGACATATAGTCGGTCAATCTACCTCGGCGATTCTAGAACTCCTTCTTTTTTTCCTTGTCCACTAGAATATTGTCGTGGTAACTGATCTCCTGGCCAGCAACGGCAGGTTGCAAATAATGCGGCTCCACGTCGATCTTCTCCTTCACATCCGAGTCCAACACTAAGGAATGGTGAGGCCCACGATGAAGGTGCTGCTGCTGTTGTTGCTGTTGATGCTGATGATGCTGATGCTGGTGCTGATGCTGGTGATGATGCTCGTGTCGATTCTCCTGCTCCTCCTGACCGTACTTCTTCAGCAACTCTTCCAACTTCTCAAGATCGACTTTCTCCTCTTGAGAAAGCTCCTTCACGTCGGCATCGTCGAGTTTTTGCGAGTCTTTAAGTTTCTTGAAAAGTTCAAGGAACCGCTCGTTAGTCTGTGTTCCATCCCTGGTTGTATTCTTGGAAGCATTCAAGTTCGGATCTAACAGCAAATCGGGCGTCTCGTGCGCCATGTTCACGTTTTTGTCCAAATTCTCCTCCGTCAACGACTGTAGTAAGGTATTGTAATCCGGTTTGATTTTCGAAGTCTCCATGCAGGAGCTGCACGAGCAGTTCGTGATAATTTGCACCTTTTTCTGCATGGTCACCGGATTGTTCTGCTCGTCTTTGCAGTCCAGCGTAACCTAGGAATAGAAGATATAAAAAATTATGACGTAATATAAAATGCAATTTTTTTAATGAACAGACTATATAAAGAAATAGAGAATTCCAATATTTCCTCAAATTTTTCTGATAATGCAAACACTTATAAATTCGTTTAATATATGTATTATAATATTAATATAATGTAATATTAATATTAATATAATGTAATATTAATATAAAGTCGTTTGTTATAAGATTTATGGCATAGTAAAATAATCAAAAAAAGATTAAAATATACGCAATTATGTGAATTGTGTATATTTATAAAAAAATAAGATTGTAAAATTCAATTTACTACGACTCCGGCAAGTTCTTAGAAGTTATTAAAAGATAACTGAGAAATGATAGCGTTAAGTATTATTTTGCCGTTCGCGCGATATCTTTTATTACGTATGCGAAAGAGAACTAATAGTAAAAACCGATAAATATCTGTATATTTATACTTTATTGTTCTTTTCTCGAGTTTATGTAATGTCCAGATCACGATTCTTCTGATTACACACAGTTACTAGGTAACTATAATACTAAATAATTACAGTTGCTGTGCCTACAATTACCAATCGTAGTTTTATCGACGTGTCTATGTGCAAGTACTCACAGTGTGCCAAACGCTGTCCAGAGGCTGACATGAGTCGCAGTAAGGTCTTATAAGGTCACCGGGCGCGGAGGGTTCGCTATGAGGGACCATGTAGGAGAAACAGGCGCCAACGCACACGTTATTGTCTAATTCCTGCGAAGAACACTGCGGCCATGTCACTACTTGCTTTATGGGCGTCGTCTTGCACCAACTGTGTTTATCCGGGTACAGCACGATGTTGTGAACCTGCGTGCATAAAATACATTGTATAAGAGCGAATGTGTGAAACAGAATATTAAGGCTCCTGATTAGTCAGGCGAGAAGTCGGCGTTGACGATAGTGACACAGCCATTAATGAATAAGAATAAGAACTTCGTTCATCGTATGTATAAAGCGAATTATGTATGTATATGTATGTATTTGTGTGTATGTGTGTAACAGTCATCTAAATTTTTCCGTCCGAATCATGGCGTTATTACTGACTGTAGTGCTTACATATCACACATAACACAATTGCAAAAGTGTTAAAATACTCCGGATACTGTGCTTTTTTGTAATATTTTAACTATAATAATACTTATTCTATCATATTCCGCACTGAGTCACACAGCTGATCTCCTGTCAAAATAAGCCGATTTTCACACATATATTTAACAGTGTTGTAAAAGTTATTTCGGGAAATGAATACTATCCGGAGCATTTTATGAGTGTGTAGGATCCATTGTAAGTGTCACTTTGTTAACATATCTTTTTATTTTGCAATGATTCGGGCGCAAAATTCATGTGCAATTTCTGACGTTATCAATCAATATGGCCGCGGTGACTGGCCAGAAGCCTTAAAAGATTATATATGAATGATGTTTATAATCACATTCTTTGCTAAATCAATAAAAAAATAAATGCTACAGTGAATTATATGATTATTATTAACGAGGGGAAACGAACCTTATGTTCACGATGAGCATTAAGCGAAGCACAATGCATT